TGACACAGGGGGTGAGACAGGAGGTGAGACAGGGGTGAGACAGGGGGTGAGACAGGGGGTGAGACAGGGGGTGAGACAGGGGTGAGACAGGGGGTGAGACAGGCAGGGCCTGAGGAACTCTGGGAAGGAGACAGTGCGGAATGGAAGAGTGGTCGGGTCTGGAGCAGCAGGACACCTGCAGGACGAAGGCCCCAAGGGCTCTGCACGGTGGAAGGAGATTACTCTTTATCGATGGGGTCCCTGGCCCTGATGCAGGCCCTGAGGATGGGGTTGCTGGCCTCGTCACTGACCTGTAGGTGGGGTGACTGGCCTGGTCTCTGGTCTGGGCATGTGGACATCAGATTGGGGACACTGGTGCACCATGTGAGCTAAGTCTGTGTGCCTGTGAGTGTGTAATGGGGCATACGTGAGAAGGAGCGTGTGTGTGAATGCATGTACATGTTTAAGTGTGTGCATGTGTGTGTATGGTTCTGTGTGAGTATATCTGCACATGTGCATAAATGTCTGCTTGTGATTGTGTACGGTTATGCATGTGCACACACATGAGCATGTTACACAGGCTGTGTGCCTGCAAGTGCCTGTGTGGGAATGTCTGTGAGTCTGTCCATGTGTATGTCACAGACTCAGTCTGTGAGTGAGTCTGTCCATGTGTATGTCACTCGCTGGCCCATTGCACTGGGTTCACGGTGCGTCCTGTCTACATGGCAGCTCCAGCCCAGTCAGGGCCAGAGGTCCTCTGCTGTCTGTCTGCATAAAGACTGGTGCTGCCTGGAGATGGCCACCAGGGGCCACTGTTGATGCTTCTTCCTCACCAGCCACCCAGGCGACCATGCTTGGATGCAGGCAGTGAATGCAGTGTGGCGCTTTTACTTCCTCTGAGGCACTTCCTTCATGGACTGATGGACGCCTGCCTGAGGCAGGTGAAGCTGTGGCCCCATGACAGCAGTGCTCTTGTCACCTGGTTTCCTGGCAAGCACAGTCTGTAGCTACTTCTTGGAGCTGGGTTAAGTTCTCTGAATGCACGGGTCCTGTTCTCCAGGCTTCCCACTCACACTCCCAGGGAGGTGCTGTAAGACAGACTCTGTGGTCCTTTGTCTGGGCAGCTGGGTTAGCCAGTGGCCCACAGAGAATGAATGCACTGGGTGTTTCCTGTGTACAGTGTGGTGCAAACATTGCTCACGTCACAGGCCACTGTGTTGTGACCACAGACAGCAGCAAGCTGGGCTCTCCTGCTGGCTCTCGCTGCGCCAGCGACTCTGTTCATTGGGTGGCTTATTGAGTGCGTTGCCTGCCCGGTTACTATTTCAGGTCACCCTCTAGTGTACCCTTCCACAAAGCTGCAGTTGGGGCTCCTTCCCGGCCTCTTCCTGCTCCCAGATCAGGAGCTCGCTTCTGCCATGTCAAGGGAACTGAGAAGCACAACCCCGGCTGCTGTTTAGCTGGGAGAGCTGTGTGCTGATGATCGGACAGCTGTGTGCACTGGCCTGAGTGATTCGTGCCGACATGATCTTTCCACTTTGAAATCCAAGTCCTGCTCTCCCCACGTATTTTCAAATGCTCAAGTCCTGTAGGTCTCTGTGAAGAAAAGTTAAAAAGGCCTGCAATCAATAAAAATAGGTAAAGTTGTTAGAAAAAGGAGAAGAGGAGGTGAAACTGTAATGGATTCAAGGAGAGCAGTTTTCTGAAATCCTTGCTGTTAGAGCCCGCACAGTTAAGAAGAGCCGTCACGTCACGTGAGCTGCCCCCGTGGAGAGGGAGGCCGACTGACAGCCGTGCTCTTGTCACCTGGGAAAGACGCCTCCGGGTAGGGTTGCTGTGGTAGGTGAGTGTTTCTCACCGTTAGGTCCTGTGCTGATCTCTCTTAGGCACTTCCCACGTGGGCCTGAGTGTCCCGGCTCCCTCCCCCAGGCAGCCTCTCACGTGGCCTGGGGTGGTCTGCTCCCACACTGGCTGAGTGTGCTGTCAGGGAGGTTTGGTGGAGGGACCCTCTCACGGTGGGACCCAGTCCAGCTTGTTGCAGCCACACTTCCTGGTGGTGCGACTGGATGATTCTGCGCCCTTCTCTGAGAGCCCCAGCGCTGAGCAGTCCCCCTGGGTGAAGGATCTGCGTCTCTGTGTGCCAGGATTCCCTGGAGGGACCTGGTAACAGTACCCATCCTTTGTTCAGAGCCAGGGTTCACTGCAATGTCCATCCCATGGGTGAAGCCGGGGGTGGAAGAGCTGGGAGGAAACCAGCCCCTGCGCCTAGGCAGGAGGGAGGGAAGGGAGCGATGGAGCCTCCCCCAAGGAGACCCGAGCCCACCCCACCCTGCAGGGAGCCCCTCTCCAGCCCCTGGCGAGCTCTCCAGCAAGTCCTTCCAAGTCCTGGCCAGGAGGCAGACTTGCAAAGCTTTGCGGATTCCAGTGAGTTAGGCTTCTAGCTAGTGGTGGGAGATACTTGCATAAACCTCACAGATTTCTTCAGAAAAGTGGGGAGATAGCAGTTAAACAGCTACTCATCTCTCTTCAGTCCACCTGAGTGCAAGGCATCCTAGCCGATGTCATGGAAGATGCAGAGGCTGTGACAGTGACTCCCTGCCTTCCGGGAACTCATGGAGCTACTGGGAGAGGGTGGGGCTGGAGGGACAAAGAGGTGATGAGAGGAGGTGGCTTGTGGGGTGTGCTGAGTGCAGGAGCATGTGCCTGTGCCTGTGAGGGTGTGAAAATCAGCACGTGTGCACAAGTGCCCATGCTTGTGAGTTTATAAGTGTGCATGTTTACATATTAACACGGGCACAGGTGCACCTGAGTGTCTGTGTGTGTGTGTGTTTGCATTCGTGGACATGTGGACATGTCTACACCTGTAAGCATACAAGCAGTGTGTACATTGTGTGGGACTGAGGGTGTGTACATGAGAGTGCTGTGTTGGAGAGAGAAGCCTGTGGAAGCCCGTGCATGTGTACAGGTTCCATGTGTAGTCCCACAGACCAAGAGAGGAGGGACAGACTCTAGGGCCTGAGGCAGGCCGGTGTGAGTGTTTGGTGGGGGACAGTGACTTTAAGAGTGGAAATGATCTTGCCTGTGGGAACAGTGGGCCAACATGTGCTGGCTAAGCAGACTAACAAGGTAGGCTCTTAATAAATATTCTCTGAAAATCTGGCAAAAAATTAGCACTTTCCTTTCAGACGGAAGAAACTGACCCTCCCTCGGGATCCCTGATCACTCCTGGAATGTTCTCTCGGCTCTGGGAAGTCAGCCAGAGCTGGAACGGCTACTCCCTTGGGTGCCTCTGCTGTCCTCAGCACTGTGCACTGGCCCCAGGGCTGCTGGCTTTATCTCCTGCTCTCTACTGGGAGGGGAGGCTCCCTTCTGGAATCCTGAAGACTCCCCAGTCAGCTGAGCTCCCCACGATTCCGAGTCGTGGTCCACCAGGTGGTGATGCCACTGTCCACAGAGGTATGGCAGGTGTCTCCCTTGGGCCCGTGGCTGCCAGGGTGGCCTCCGTCTGCCCAGCTCTCCAGCCTGCCTTCCTGCTCTGGACAGATAGCCCAGGACTGCTTCCTGAAGGGGCTTGCCTCCTGCAGCTGCCTGCAGTCCACCGTGCTGTCCTGTGGGTCTACCTGGGAGGCATCCCTGCCCACCTGCTTCTCTGGTCTCCCCCACTCACACATTCCTTCTCAGGGCAGCCTCCTGAGCAAGGCTCCCAACACACTGTCTGTGGCCAGCCTGCTCCATGGCCCATTGACAGGCATAACAGAACCACCATGGGTCTGAGCCTCCTGAAGGTGAGCCTGTGGTGTCCACCATGCCCCTCAGCTCTCTGTCCTGCCCCTCCAGGTTGTCGCTCAGCAGAGGGATGTGGAGCCTTCCAAGGCAGACCACAGAACAGTGTGCACAGGTGCATGGGTCGGTTCCTGCATGGAGATGTCTGCAGTGTGGGTCTGTGGGGGGAATTTGGGTGTTGGTCTGACAGCGTCCCGGGCCCTCGTGCTGCATTTGGCTGTCCGTGAGTCGGTGCTCACGTGAGTGCATGCGACTGGCCACAGACACCCGTGTACACCTGGATTGTTTGAATGGTGATGACGCTGATCATGGTTCACCGGGAGAACCCATCGTCTCTTAACCCATTCTCTGTTATCTGCAGAATGAGGGCCTCGCACAGGCCAGGCAGGTACTCTACCACTGAGCTGCATCCCAGACCTTTTCCAAAAAAGTTTTATGTTGAGGCAGGGTCTCACCGAGTTGCCCAGACTGACCTCAAACTTGTGACCTTCCTGCCTCAAGTTGCTGGGATTACAGGTGGAACCACCGCACCTGCATAACCCATTCTGGTTTTCCCCACATTTTTAATTGGTGCCTTACAGTTGTACATCATGGTGGGACTTGTTACGTATTCGCACATGCACACAAGGTAACAGTATAGTTTGGCCAATATCATTCCCCAGTATTCTATTTCTCCTTTCTCTTCCATTCTCTTTCCCCCTTCCCCTATTCTATTTATCTCCCTTTGATTCTCGTGAGACACCCCCACCCCTGCCTTTTCTTTTCTGATCTCCTGTGATTGTCATGGTTTGTGGGATGTTTGCACTGTGAGCCTAGGTACAGCGGTGGAACTCAGACACCCTCAGTTCACACAGCGCCAGTTCTTGAAGGAGAGACAGACCCTCAGCCTGAGAGTCTCACAGTTGGGCTCAAGGTGTTCAGTCCATCAGGAGGCCGCCTGGGGGAGGTCAGCCAGGTTCAATCTTGGGGTCCTCGGTTGGTGGGAGGCCTCCTGGGGACACTGAGACACCATTCTGAAGGATCGCCTTTCAGGCAGTCCTGAGAGTGATCAAACACCCAGGTGCCGAGAGCCTGATGTGGCCATGCCACTCCTTGGGACAGTTCTAGGGGTGAAACTGGCCTGGACAGGTGTGGTGGCTTGTCAAGCTGGCTCCTCTGCGGTGGCCCCCGTCTCCCCCTCTGAGTCTCAGGAGCCTCTGCTGTCAGATTTAGGTTCCCTTCTTCAGTTTTTTTTTCCTGGTCTTAGTCTCTGATATAGTCCAGGGGCAAAGAAAATCAATGATTAATCAAATCTCAACTTTCAAATTAGTAAACAAAATTAGTTGATTTTAAAGTAGAAATAACATCATGTGTTTAACATTCTAACTGTATGTTCACAGGGGAAATTTCAAGGGAGTCTGATAACACTATTCTGAGAATACATTCATAACATTGTGTGCAAAAAATCAGGTTTAAGGAATGATACCTTTGTACTTCAGACAAAGAAATAGCTTGTTTAGAAAGTTCCAGAATAGATATGACTCACCTTTGGCTGACTTTCCTTATGAAACCCTGAAGGATTGCAAGTGCTTCCTTGGGGAGCGATTCCTTACCGTGGCTCGGGAACGCTTAGACACCCCGAGACACCCTGGTCAAGTGTGCGCGACCGAGCCCCACATGGCTCTGGTTGCCAGTGCACAGGCAGCCGTTGGCTGGGGCTTTGCCGGCCCTGACCCAGAACTTCATCTCCACAGGGCAGTGTTTCCTTGGCATGAGTGAGTGCCAGCTGCGCTGATCCTGTGTGTTGAGTGCTGCGCTGGGCACCGTGGGCAAGGGAGCCTTCTTCAGGGCCCTGGCCTGGGCCCCAGCCTTGGTTGTGACACTGTGGCCCCCTTCCTCATTTGTGAAGATGGGGTGGGTCCCGCTCAGTGTTCCCACGTGTCATGGCTCTACCTGAGGAGGAGAGTTCTAGGGGTGCTCAAAGCACTTCTTTACTTTCGCCCTCCTCCCTTCTTCCTCTCCTTCCCCGTCCCTGACTACACAGCACCACGCACTGTTCCTCTCTCTGACATGTGGAGGAGTGCGGATGCATGCTCGCGGACGTGTGCAACGCAGCATGACAGCTGTGCTGGGACAGGGGGTGGGGCGCCCTGTCCCCACAGCAGTTGTCCCGGGAGCCTCGGTGGCTTTACTTTTTGTGAGGGCGGGGACGGGGCAGTGTGGTGGTCCCTGCTGGGGAGGACCAGCAGCTGGCATAGTTCCTCTTCTGCTGGGCCGGCCCCTTAGGGAATTCTCCCGTCTGGTCTGCACAGTCCCACGGAGATGATGTGGTGTTGTGATTCCTGAGTTTGCTTTCTTTCAGTCGCAAGGCAGTCGGTGCAGAGCACGTATGTCGTATCACACCAGCCACTGAGGCAGTGGGCAAATGCGCTCCTACTGATCCAACTTGTTGCATTTGAATGGCCTTCTTCAGCCATACTGCAGTGAAGCTGTCACGGACAATAGGGGACCTTCCCTTCTGTGGCTGGGGTCTGCAGATGGCTGCTGGTGTGGGAAGCAGGGCCCTGAATTCCTCCTTTGTTAGTCATAGAAGGTGATTTGGATGTTTGACACCCCCCACCCCAGGAAGCTTGTCACAAAGTGAACAGTTCGCTGGAATAAAGACTAATTAGGGCCTAAAGTAATTAGAAGGTGTGGCTTGGAAGGATGTTAACAGCAGTCGTCCCCTTACTACTGCAGTGGGCCCCGACTTCTGGAGAGCAGGCGAGGCGCTCTGTGCTCTGCAGGGCTTCCGCCAATCCTGGGGCCTCTGAAGTGAACACTTCTGTTTCCTGGGCGCTCTGTTTTCACCTGCAGAATTGGCCCCGAAGGCGACTGACTTTTTGTCACGAGGTTGTCAGCAGCAAGTTTCAAAAGTAAAAAAAAAAAAAAATGTGATTTAAGAGTGAGAGATATGGGGGAGAGGCTGGGCACCCAGTGAGAAGCAGATGAAAGCCCACACTGCGCTGGCTTCACAAGTTCTCTCTCTCTTTACATTCACGTTCTCCATGATGCTCAGTTTTTAAATTTTATTTCATTTTACTTTTTTACCTTTCAATTAACGTGTGTGTGTGTGTGTGTGTGTGTGTGTCATTATTTTGTTAAAATTCTTTTTAGGGTACAGGACTGTAAAGTGTATTCTGACATACTGTACATACACAGTGAGGATCCCCTTCTAGTGGTGTATGTGATGTGAGTCACGCTGGTCGTGCATCCGTACATGAACATGGGAAAGTGATGTCTGTTCATTACACTGTCTTCCCTGTTCCCTCCCCCCGCCTTCCCTTCATTTCCCTCTGTCTAATCCAGGGAACTTCTACGCTCACCTTCACCCCCTTGTGTGCTAGCGTCTGCATATTTGGTCTTTTTTATTTAAGCAAATCTTCACTTTGCAAATGCTTCTGGATTGGAATTGTTCTCACGTAGTGTGAACGGGTTTCAAAGCCTCAGGACAGTGTGTGGGACCTGTCTACTTCCTGAACATGAGCCCTCAAATTCCCCCTCTTCTCTGCCTTCCTCTTCCTGCAGATGGACTGTTCGGGAGGTGCCAGAAGGTTCCAGCTGTGGATACCTACCGTTATGACGCATCTCCACTGGCTCTGCAGCACCTGAGGGCCACCTTGCAGAAGCTCTCCCGCACAGGTAGGCAGGCGGGGCCCTGCCCGGCCAGGCCTGCACTCTGCAGGGGCTTTGCTGAGTACCTGGGCCTCCGGTCGGGGCAAAGTTAGGGTCCTGGTATCCAGGAGAGGCCCGTAGGGCTTGCACCAGGGAAGGGGGAGCCCCATGGTGACTGGTCTCAGGGTCAGGAAACTTGGCCTGCTCCTGTGTGCTTGGGATTTCAGGGGTGAGGGACACTAGGATGTGACGTGTGCAGCCAGAGTTCAGCCCTGAGGGGGTCTGCCTGGCCAGCTGTCCTCGTGTGGTGTTCTGTCCTATGATTTTGTTGTAGGAAATTCGTGTTCCTTCCTCCGTTTACTTCACTGGGGTGCTAAGAAGATGATTATCAAAATCACAGTAATTTAAAAATAATTAATTTTGCTGCATACCTGATTCATATATGTATAGTTTTGCTTTGTGTGTGTAGTTTTGAATTGAGGGGCACTGTCTCATGAGACTGGCCTTATCCTCACTTGTTACTAAGATAAAGTCTCGCCTGGGCACGGGCCAGTCTGAGGCCACATGCAGCATCACAGCCCAGAGTGTGACTGGTGAAATCCATGTCTCTCAGGGTCAGGGTTTGACTATCCTGGCAGCCAGCCTGGAGGTGGGAGCCAGGAGCTGGCATCGGGGCCTGGACCATGCCTCCACACTTACTCCAGGGCCACCTGCTCCCCAGGAGCTCCGCTGCTCCATGGACAGCTATGGTCAGCAGGACGGGAGACACTTCTCGGCCTGCTTTTGATGCTCCACAGGTGCACTGGAGTTCTGCAGACTGGCTTCCATCAGTTCCTTAAGCCCAGGTCTTTGGGCCAGGGCACGCACTCTCCCTGTGGTGCTGACTTTCGGGATTTATTCAGGGAACTGGAACCACTCAGGCCCTGTGTGTGCATACTAGGGACCCCGTCCTGCTGCGGGGGAGCTGGCCAGCTTCTGGGTTGCTGTTTTGTGCCTGGAGCTCAAAGCCCTGCAGCAGGTGGCGAGGACAGGAAGGCTTTGGAGGGCGGGGAGGCTAAGGTAAGCTGGAGCACACAGGGTGGCTGGGCTGCCCTGTCTTGCAGCCTTGACCTCAATGGTGAGGGGCTGCAGCCACCCTCCCCAGAAGACAAGACCGTGCCTCTGCTGTGTGTTTGGGTGGTGTTCACCCTATCTCCCCTGATTTTTACTTGATACCTTGATACCCTGCGACTTAGATCATGAGACGCAGAGTTAACCACGTAATATAGCTGGGAGCATGTTCATATCACATGAGTGATGTGGAATGCCCAGCCCTGCTTCCGCAGGCAGTGTGGGCTGCCTTAGCACCCCTTCTTCCCACTGGTACCCACTGCACACCTCTCTCCCCTCAGGGAGTCTCCACTTGTCATGGCTCCCCACCTGGGGCACACAGGCCATGCTGGGCATTCTGGCGGTCAGTAGTGCTGCATGAATTGGTCTCTTACAGTTCCCGTTGCCTCTGTCCTGGACATGAAGTGCTAGAGGCACTATGCGTTTCTGATGTGATTCTCCTTCCTGGTCAATGTAGCTAGTGGGTCACACTGCACGGAAGTGAGGGAGGCCTCCCCATTTCCCCCTTGGCTCTCTGACCCAGACGTCCTGGCCGTGGGAAATAGTACCCATCGTATTGGAGGCTCCTGAGGACCCTGCCCAGCCCTGCAGGGTGCTGCCACCTAGCAGGAGCTGCCAAAGTATCTTCAGAAGCCACCCACCCTCCAAAAGCCAGCTTTCAGATGGTGGGGAGCAGTGAAAGTTCACAGAATCCTGTGGGCATGGGCCCACTACTGTACCTCCTGGGAATTCTTTGTCAAAGGGTGTGCTGCCCTTTTGGACACTGTGGGTCCACAAGGATGCAGTTTGGCAAGGTAGGGCATGCAGGGAGGGCAGATCTGTATGCAGAGTGGTGTCTGCCGCAGAAAGGTGCTGTGCCTTCCGTAAGAGGTCCGGTGAGATCCACCTGCCATCGGGTTGCTGACTGGTGGTACCATGCTGGGACTCAGAGTCGATACCCTGTAACTTAAATCATGAGCTGCAAAGTCAACCACATGATATATGTCTGATGCTGGCAGACTGGACCTGCAGCAGTGGGTGAAACCAGGTCAGCTTCAGTGAGGCTCATGTTGCTCAGCCTGAGCCTAACCTCCAGCCCTGCTACCATGGCCACGTAGTCCATGAGCACAATGGGAAACGGCAGGGTGGCCGGGGAAAGAGGCCCACTGGCGTCCACAGAAAGGGTCATCTGATCTTTCTGATTGGTAAAGTCCTCTCCTGAGGTCACCCTGTGCCAGCCACAGCAGTGACCTGAAAGGGAGTGTTTATCCAAAGTCCTGAGGTCTGTGCTTGGAGTCACCCATCGACGGCTTTCCTATCTGCCACCGAGATCCTCCGGCATGAAGCATCTTACCATTACAGGAGTCCATGCTACTTCCCGGACCTCAGGTCCAAGCCGTTTCTCATCAGTGTAATGGGCCGCAGTGGTGTCCTGTGGGAAGAAAAGGCAGTTGAGGTCCCTGAGGTCAGATAGTCACAGAGGGCTGAAGGGTCAGGATTGATGTAGGGCAGTGATGACATATTTACTGCTGGCCCTTCCAGGAGAGATCGAGCTGCCTCTGATGGTCTTTCCTGCAAGTAGAGGGAAAGCTTCCTGGAGCCAGTAGCTGGGTAGAAGGTACCAGGGGTGTGTTAATCTGCTCCAGCAGAGCGACCGCATCAAGTGCAGCAGCTGCAGCGGGCACTGCCATCTGGTTGAGTCTGCTATAACACTGACATTCTCCAAGATCCATTAATCCTCAGGGATATTCAGAGGTGAGGTGACTGGATTATGAAGGCTATAATATAGTCAGTGCCACCTAGTTTCAGTGGACTTAACTGTAGGCAGGTGGACTGTGGCTAGAGGAGGGGCACCTCTTCCCTGTGGCCAATTCCCCTTCTCCCTGTCTCTCTGCTTCCTGGCTACCCTATCTTGAAGCTTCCTTTCACCACACCCTTCTGCCATGTGCTACCTCATCTTAGGCTCAGAGCAACGGAGGCAACCCACCAGGGACTGATCTCTGAAACCTTGAGCCAAAATGAACTTTCCTTCCTCTAAATCGTTCCTGTGTGAGCCATGAAGATTCTGTGAATTCCTGACTACGTCGATCTGACTCACACGTTCTGGAAAGGGAAGTGACTACAGAATGGGTCTGGGAACCTATGAAATAGACCTGAGATAAAACTTCGCAGGTCACCTCATGTCCATGAGGTCCTACTCTAACTAACCACAGTGACGTTTTGGGTTCCCTGGACTCAGGATCAGTTCAGATCCAGGGTCCAGCAGTGGAAAGCCTTGTGATGTCTCTTGCCTGCACAGTCACCCTGGCAAGGGGCTGCAAGTCCCCTTGGTGGAAGCTGGGGAGATCAGCAGGGCGCATTCTTGCTGTGTAGCTGGGTCCTGCTGGAAGGGAACCTGCTCCCCCATTCCGTTCATAGGGCTCTGGGTCTGTGAGATGGGCCAAGGCCAGGAACTGACTGGACTTTGGCTGTCTGGGCGATTCAGGTCAGTGTCTGCTCAGTAGATGTCTGCACAGAGCCACAGGGCATTTGAAGGGTGCCCCTCTATTTCATATCTAGGAGCAGTCTAACAATGCTAAAGGTCACTGTGAGTCAGACTCTTTAATAACTGCTTTGTGGTACTCCCATCCACCTTTCTGTAGCACATAAGTGCTACCACTTGGCATTGCCACCCCAAATCCCATTGTCCCCAGTGCCCTTGAGGTCCCAGATGGCTAGCAACAGTTCCCACACTAACCTCTGAATGGTGAGAAATGTTACTACAGAGCTTTTCAAGGGTGGTGGGACCGCCTTGTGAATCCACTTCCTGTGGTCGTGGTGGGACATGTGCCCTGGGCAATCCCAGGTCATCAGCAGGTCTTTGTGTAGATCCACTCTGGCATTCCAGGCTTCCTCTGCCTTTGGACGCTTGCTGTTGAGGCCAGGGAAGCCCTGGACTTCAGCCTCATTTCATGTAGAGCCCTTTGGATCCACATCTATGACAGCCAACCGTGGACACGGCAGGGCCATCTAGTCCCTCAGCCTGAGACACCAAGTGGAGGATCTACACTTAGTGGGCCATGAAATGAATTTGACCTGACTCCACTTCTGCTCATTCCCCTTTGACCTTAAGATTTGTTCCACACTTTGTACCCAGGTGTCTGTTGATGCAAATGGGTGAAACCACATGATCCTCTAATGTGACTTGAGCTCTCTGTTGGGCCATGCCTTGCACCTTACCCTCTGGGCCTGCGGGGACTTGAGTCCAGGTGTAGTCTGGAAGCCAGGGGAGGGTGAGGCAGGGGGTCCTGTGGGTCAGCAGGGCCCACAAGGCAATCCCCTCAGGCAGAGAAGTTTCAGGTTCCATCAGGAAAGTCAGATTACCCTCAGCAGGAGAAAGGGATGCTTTCAAGGAAACTTGGTGAACTTTAGGGGCAGGTGCACAAGAGGATGCAGACACAGGTGTAGGTCTCTACGTTGATGACATAGATGACGTGTAGATAGGCTCCTGAAGGCCATGCTGTCTGCTCTCCGTGCCCCGCCCCTGGGAAGCTGAGGGCAGAGCTCTCTGGGAGTAGCTATAGTTTGATGATCCCCTACTCTGGGCTCTCTCTACTGCCTCCTCAACTGTCACCCATTGGGCTCGAGTGCTCACATGGCTGACAGTTGTGCTCTGAGGTGAGAAAGGGCCACCACCCGTGCCTGGCCGGAGCATCTATTCGTGGCTTCACTGGAAGCTCTTGAGGCATGCCTGCCCTTTGGTTTCACCATGAGCCCAGACGGACCTTTCTGGTTCCCATGTTGCCGGATCTTGCTCGGGAAAGCAGATCTTCTTTGTGGAGAATGGTATATACATGTGCTGCCTAAGCTCCCACCTACTGCCGGCTTGGCTGAGTATCCTCAAATGCTTTGTAGACTGTGGACATGAGTGCTGGAGCCTGATAGCCTGGCTCTGTCCT